AAAAAAAAAAACAAAAAAACCCCAAACAGACTGAAGAGAATTGTGTCTTTTAAGAAAAAAAAGAGAGAGAGAGAGAGAGAGCTTATTTCTTTATGGAAGAAAAAAGTGGTGTGTGTTTGGTATGGCTGCCTCACTCCTCCAAGTTACCTGCTGGATCCCTGTAGGAACCCCAGTCTACGATTCCTGGGGAATACCATGGTTTGCTAGAATTAGGCAACTAAAACGGAAAAGGGGAAAAGGCCAGTTTCTGTGTTATTTCGGCTTACTTTATGTTAACTGAGTATACGTTTGAAAATCTCCAAATTCAGGGAAACCCCATCACTGACATTCAGAAGTCTGATACCTTTTTTTTTAACCACCCAGGGAGCTGACCCTTTTGTACCTGGGATTCCTTTCATGCCGTCTAACCCCGGCAATCCTGGGAGGCCCGGAGGCCCTGGGACACAAGGACACTGGATGCACAGGAGGCCTGGTTCCCCTGTAATGATAGCAGCTTGTTACTCATAAACCCACATCTAGTCCTCAAAAAGGACAGATACTTCCTAACCACACAATCATTTATTACATTAAAATGTGTGTGTGTGTGTGTGTGTGTGTGTGTGTAGTGAAAATCATCTAGGACACTGTGCATTGTTTTATGTTGTTGATTTTTATTTTATTATATATATATATATATTTAAGTTTATTTATTTTTGAGGGTGGGGAGAGGCAGAGAGAAGAAAGAGAGAATCCCAAGCAGGCTCCTCGCTGCCAGCATGGTGCCCGGCTCGGGGGCTTGATCTCACAAAGCATGATATGATGACAGAGCCGAAATTAAGAGTCGGGTGCTTAACCAAATGAGCCACCCAAGGGCCCCAGACATTGTACATATTAATAAAAAGTCATTCATCTATTAGAACTGCTTACTTTATCCATCTGACCTTCTTAATGTTCTCAGAGGAAATCCTGAGTCAAGCATAAAACATCCTGTATTACAGCCACCTCTCTCCTTCAGTGCAGGGTAATACTCATATTCCAGGAACATCCAACAATTTATTGCACAGGTGCTAAATAAATGATTGATTTATAGATAAATGAAAACTTTGAGGTAATTCTTCTGGAAAAGAGGCCAGCCTTGACTGTCTGCAGTTTGGGATCATTGTTGTTTTGGTGGGGAAGGAATCAAATGGGGACAGTAATGATGACGAGCATGGCTTACTTGAATAGAACAACCATTGACTGAACCAACCTTTGGGCCCATCGACTCCTGGGATTCCTGGAAACCCTATAGGGCCTGGAAGTCCACTATCTCCAGGTGGACCTTTGCGAAAAATGATGTCACCTGCAAAAAGACAACACCAGAACTTGATTTTTTATCTCTTTATGTGTTTTTGTTCAATTAGCACGTTTCTGCACTATGCATTATTTTATACGCACTCCCCCATATTTGTTTTAGAAGCTGAGTCTTTCGAAGTTTCGTCTACACTGAAGACTGAAGCATGTTGACCAGCTTTTCCTTTCTCATTACACATGTGATTTTTTTAAGTTTATTTATTTTGAAAGAGAGAGAGAGAGAGAGAGAGCAAGCGTGTGTGTGTGTGTGTGTGTGTGTGTGTGTGAGTAGGGGAGGGGCAGAGAGAGAGAGGGAGAGAGAGAGAATCCCAATGCTCAGTATGGGGACGGACGCAGGGCTTGATCTCACAACTGTGAGATCATTACCTGAGCTGGACGCTTAAGACTGAGCTACCCAGGGGCCCACACAAGTGATATTTTTTAATACTGGTGCAGTGATTCTTTGAAAGCTCATTATATGGTTATTTCTCATCATATAATCAACTCGTGTTATTTTATTCAGTTACTTCTAATTATTTCAAGACTATTCTTTTAACATTTTTAGGCAAAGGGTCAAATCTCATTTTTCTATATATCTTGGATACCTTGAATCTTCCTGATACATAGTAGATGCCTAATACAGACTGAGTGAAAAAGTTCTGACAGAATATCATCTGTTTTCTCTGTATTGCTTATTCACATCTATCAAGTTCGTCATTTTTTTTTAACTTTTTTTTAAACTTTTTTAAATTTATTTTTGAGACAGAGAGAGACAGAGCATGAGCGGGGGAGGGTCAGAGAGAGAGGGAGACACAGAATTGGAAGCAGGCTCCAGGCTCTGAGCCATCAGCCCAGAGCCCGACGCGGGGCTCAAACTCACGGACCACGAGATCGTGACCTGAGCTGAAGTCGGACGCTTAACCAACTGA